CGAAAATGCCTCAATTAATCTTTTTGTTAACTACGGTAGAGTAGAATCTAAATACATGTATAACTACTACCAGTACCATACTCTTGTTTGGGTGTGGTCACACCATGCCCATCTCGTGTGTTACACACCCCTGTTACCAGGGGGTGTACATACCAGGGTATGTGTAACCCCGTTACATTTTTGTTTAGCTATGGCTATTTGTCCAAAGTTCAGTATATATTGGAGCTCTCGATTTATGCGTGTCATCCATGCGCAGGGGCCATGCTAATGTTCTCTATATCGTTCCAATTTATACGGATGACCACCAAAGTGGTTCCTATTTAGTATATATGGGAATTGTGAAGCTTGCATCTGAGGGACGAAACATAATTTAATCAAGTCATCTTTTTTTGATCCTCCCTAATATGATATATCACCTATTCCAGCTCACCCGCAAATACTAATTCATGGACGATTTGACCAAGCGAAAGCGGCATAAGCGGCATAAGCGGCGTCTCGATGACGACAAGAAGATGAAGAAATATAAAAGGCACGGCGGAAGTGGAAGCAAAAGTCGTCGAATCCTAAAGCGAAGCTATCGTGTCAGTGATAGCGACAGTGACAGCAGTCCTGGCGTTGACTACGGTAGAGCCGTGAATGTTGTGCGTGAGCTGCTGACTGAGACTCCTGGACTTGCCAAGGATCTCTTGGAACTGCTACAGATGATAGATAAGGGGAAGGTGGCCGTCATCAAAGGCATCAATGATCAGCGTTTTCGCTCTAAACTTAAGAAGCTCTTCCCGTTGCTAGGTTTGGTCAAGGTTCGTCATTTTTGTAAATGGCGTGACACATCACTGACTGATGCTTGATTTTGCAGCTTGATGAGCCGAAAGGTGCTTATTCTAAGTCTGATAAGGTCAGACTTGAAGGACAAGATAGTCTCGTAAACGTATTTCAGAGTATGCTGGCTGGTGATAGTGTCAGAGTCGGTGTAAAGACAATAGAATGACCTTAGGTTTATCAGCTAACATTCTACTTTTTCCTTAATGTAGTATCAGACGGTAGCAACAGAGGAGATTCAGACCTCATGTACGCAAGATGCTCAAGCTATCCAAGACAAGTCTGTACAGAAGCTGCGTAAACGGGACTTCCCAATTGGTCCGTCTCTACCACCAGCAGGACCTGTTGTAAGTGATGTTCCAGATAATGATGACGATGACTTTGTGGGTCCTGCATTGCCTGGTATGAAGGGCTTTCGATTAGCAGAGGAACACGTTGAGGCGGAAATGACGTGCATAGCAGAAAAGTTGGAAAAAGAGCAGTGGAATCGTGCACTCACTGGCGGCAAGAATGAGTTAGGCAATAACATGCTAATGCGAGAGGCGTGGATGACGATGATACCCGAGAACTCTATTTTGAAAGATTCTTTAGGACCACAAAGTCATTCTTTCGGAAAAATCGTCGCATTCAGAAGGTGAGGCTGTCAACATTGAATTTTGTCGTCTTACTTATTGGTCGCTGTATTCTGTTGCTTTCATCTTGTCAGTAAAGAGCCTGTTCCAGTGGATAAGACATGGCTTAGTTTGCCATCAGAAAGAGAACGTGCTAAACGTGCTAAGCTTGACATGTGCGGTTTTCTGCGTCTGACAAACAAATTATCGAAAAGCGATAGCTGTAATGATCTACTTTTATTGTATGCAGGGAGTTGCTTGGCTACGTTCGCGAAGAAAATTCTAATGCTGCAACCACCAGTGGTGACATGACATTGGTCCCGATGCAGTCAATACTTCCAATTGCGAACCCAGAAGCTGACGAAGAAATGCGTAAGCAAATGGAGAATTTTCGAAAATCGCGTGGGCCCTCACTTTTAGAGCAGCACCAGCGCAAGCAAGCCGAGCGGGGAAATAGGGGAGTAAACATTACTCGGAGCACTGGTGGATGGAACAGGTTAACTTATGTTATCTGACTCAAGATCCACAGTTAACCCTTTTGCTACCAATATTTCATTTATTACCAATGTTGCAGAACTCGTGACCTCGTAGCTCGCCAAGGAATGTCTGGAGATGATGCCGAACGCATGATTTCAGCTGCAAAACAGATCAACTCAAAATTTACGACACCGGAGATTGCCCGTCATTTCTTGTAGGTTCCTCGATTCAGTAACTTAAGCCACCGTGGCTTTGCCGTCTTTAGCAACTAGCAATCGTGAAATTGCAGTGATGAGCATAGCGAAAAATGCCAGTAAATACTCGATTCCAGCATCCAAACTGTAGCAAATTTGAACGCGTCTGGTCGGTAAAAGTAAGGATTTATGGTGAGAGAGTAATGCATTGGAGATATTGTCAGCGTTTTGGATCTCTTCCTTGTCAGTGTAAAGCCTCCCCACCGCTTTTTGCATCATTTTTCTCTGAAACTTCTTATTATGTTGTAAGCGCAGTTTGTGCCGGCGTTCAGCTCGTAAAATGCCTTCCAATTCTTTTTGAAGTCGGTCTTTAAGTTGATCGCTAGCATCATTAAATAACGGTGATGGGCCTCCAATGATTTGTTTCGCCCGTAAGACGTCCGCACTATTTACACAATATAAGTAAAATTATAGCTAGCGTCTAAAGTTCGTCTTTCTTACCGAGCATCATGAAAATCGGCAACCTTGGCTTTCGACTTCGCGCGTTGTTGAAGTGCCTTTACGCAGTTCGGATCTATGGCAAGTGCTTGGTCACACATTAACCGCGCTTTATCCCATTGCTAAATATGATATTGTCAGCACAAAACTTATAACAAGCCCTCGCGTTAAGCTACCTCTGTCATCAGCATACACGCTGCCAAGTTGCATGTAAGCGGAATTTGTAGGTCTTGCTGGCAAGCGACCTTTTCCGCTGTAGTTGACCCAAAATCCAGCGCAGTAAGTGCTTTGATGTATGCCTCTGCTGCCAGCTTGTAATCTCCCTTGTTGAAAGCGTCTTTTCCAGCTTGACGCTGAGTTGCAATCCACTGAGCTTTAGCCATTTTGCCCAGCTGAGCGACATGCTGAGCCGAATGCTTTATTTTGGCCTTCATGTCTAGGTACGCCACTTCCTTCTTGGTCGTATTTAGCATTATGCCGTTTTTTGTTTTTCGCTGTAGCGTCACAGATCCGCATGCATCAGTGGCCACAGGAGCCATGATTTCGTTGATGTTAGATAGCATTTTTGACACCGTGTACGCTTCTGATGACATACTTTCCTTTCCGATATCTGATAACAAATTCGCTCCCGCTGGACAAGCTTGAGCAGACACAAAGCCGTTAAATCGACATCCAAAATAGATTCTAGAAAGATACGGTGTCACTCCATCGCTTTAAAGGTAGATTTCGAGCAATTCACTCAGATTTGTATTGCCAGTAGAATACTAATTCTAGCTTCTTTTGTTATGCTTTTGCTTTTCCATCGCCCTATGTTTTTTCGTCTTCAGACCAGTAGCTTTACCAATACGACGGAGCAACTGCAAACTGCACCATCGCGAGAGGCTGAAACGTGCTTGTGTCAGAGTTTGGAAGGTCGGGAATTAGTTTAAACCAAACAAATCGCACCGAAAAACTGGCATTTTCTTGGTCGTTCTGTTGCTTTCAGAAACAGGGTCGCACGCTATCGCAAGAAGTAAGAACTGGTACAACATTAGCATTAAAAAGAGTAATATACGCTCGACCAGCTTGGTTTGAATATGTGAGCACCTAAGCACCTACCACCGGAAAAAGCAGCGCGAAGATGCCTTTGCTTACAAAGTTAGGCACAAAGAAAGTGGCTAAGGTGAATGGGCTTCCAAATCCTGCAAAGTAAGCCCAATTTTGCTCAAAATGTGCCAATTTTCGCTCGAGACTCCAGCCAGCAAGAGACCATTTGTACTCGAAGCAGTAGAGCGAATATAGCCAGCTTAGATGAATAAAGCTTGTTGCCGGTCCGATTACCGGAATGAGGTACGTTAATACAGTTTGCAATAGAAAGAAAGCAACAATAATCGCGCGATACAATTCGTCACTATATAATAATACGCAATTAGCACCCTCAAATCAGCATACAAAATTACAAATGGATAAACCTACCGAATCATATCTGTCACCGGGGTCGGTGACGGCTTACCATGAAGCTGCACATACGCTAAGAGGAAGAATAATCAAGCAGTCAAGCAATCCTTTGATATCAAGGCTTTGATATACCAACCGTCATCAGCGATTTCTTGGTACCAAATCGTATTCAAAATGAAGCTGATGCAGTAGATCGGGTACATCCACAGCACCTAAATGCATATCTAATTAGCATAGTATCTCACAGACTATACGCTCGTCACCTCGTACCTGGTAAAGTAAGAAGACAAAGCCATCAACTTGATCTCGTACATCATCAACTTTAGTTGCAGTCCTACACCCCGCAACAATTAGACCGCAATAGCGACCATCACAACTCGAGACTTCAGACTACCCGTAGGAGAAGGAGCGGTGCAGTAGATCTCCAAACAGATGGATTACTGGGATCACGGCTTGATCGAAAAAGTAGATGCTTCCAAGGAAGATAAGGCCATTAAGCACAAAACACTTCAAGGCAACAACAATGTCGGCTTTGGCATCACATTACTTACTATTGTCAGGCTTTCCTACCTTGACACTGGACACGCAGATAAGGCGCGACTTAAGGTAGAAGAGAAGGATGTGATGCAACGAAATGGCGTGCTGTACACCGCCACAATACTCCCGAAAGCCAGCGCTGAAGCTGTCAGACATTTTTGCTAAGAATAAAACTGAGGGAATTGAGCAAATCACAAATGCAGCAAATTACATAAAACGCTAGAGTACATAAGACCACAAACCAAGGCAGCATCTTTATTTCAGCAAAATCACTATATACAATGTCAACTGTAAGCAGGCCATCTCGTTCACGCTGATATCTTTCAGCAGAAGCCTGTTAAGTAGGAGGCAAGATTTGCAATTTGAATTTGTTTGATTGAAATCACAATTCGATTGTACAGCAGATGAAGGTGGCGTGGTCGATAATTCGGAGGAACAAAAAGGTGTCTAACTGTCAGCATCAGTTCGTGTGAATATCTTTTCATGCCTGGTAAGCAGATTTTTGTAAAAAGTATAAGTATCTAACAAGTCTGGCGACTGAAATTATTCAGGACTCGCCGTTTTGTCCGAATCGGGAAGGTATTGTTAAACTCACCTGTAAGCCTTATTGACGATAGGATTTGTGCCAACGAGTTCGACTTGACCACAAGGTTGCATTTCATCTAGAATGTTGTTCTCGTAAGGCGCGGCATCTTCTCTTATCACAAGAACAAGTCAAAGGCCTAACAGCACGAACTTAGATGACTTTGCAGTCTGAGAAGCGACATAACAAAGTTAATGTTGCTTTAAGTTTTGAAGACGTCAACGTGCATAGATTCGTAAAAAAGACCAGTAACAAAATTGAAGTAGCTAATAATGAAGCCATTCGAGTAATGTTTTACCCATTTAATGGAGGGAAGCATATCAAAAGTATTATATTTTTGAGGCATAAGTGTCGACCAGTCATTTTTGGCGCTTCATTAGCTGCCGTCATTCTCGTAACCTCCCCAATCTTCCGACTTCTCTGAATTGATTAACGACTATGGCGGAGTTTAGCCCAGAGCAGCTGGAGGCTTGTCTGCTTCAGCTCACGCATCCAGATACAGAGCAGATCAAGCAGGCGGAAGTGGCACTTAAAACATACACCAAGCAGATCACAAGCGTTGGCGGCTTGCTCACGCAATTGCAGCTCTCGACCAAGCCAGAGGTTCGTCAGTTGGCCGCACTTATGCTGCGCAAGAAGATTTTCAAGCATTGGCCAAAGCTGGACTTCAATGCGCAAAATCATGCTAAGAAAGTGCTGCTCAACCGCGCTGCTGAAGACCCCGTGCACGTCGTTCGCTCAACAGTGGCTTCGCTGATCGCTGCGCTGGCATTGCATGAAGTGAATGCTGGTAAATGGCCTGAACTTATGGTTTTTATCAATACGTGCGCCAACAGCTCCAGCGTTGACCAACGTGAAATGAGTATGAAGCTCTTGCAGCTGCTTGGCGAGGGCATGGGCACGTCACTGCAGCCGCACTTTAACGACCTTAAACAGCTTTACGCCAAGGCTTTGCAAGACCCTGAAAACCTTAAAGTTCGCGTAGGTGCCATGCGCGCTGCTTGCTGCCTCATTGAATTTCTCGAGGAAGCCGATCTTCGTGGCTTCCGTGATCTCGTGCCCCTCATGATTGCTGTATTACAGCAATGCGTTGCTAATGGTGCCGAAGCGGAAGCTGTCGAGTTCATGGACGTGTTTTCTGAGATTGCCTCGCATCCGTTTTCGATTTTAGACCAAGCTTTTCCGCAATTTATCGAGCTATTGTTGCAAATTATTGTGGCTGAGCAGCTTGAAGTAAGCACCCGTGCATCGGCAAGTTATGCGATTGGAGAATTCATCAAAAAAAAACCGAAGACAATTGGCAAGAGAAATCTTGTGGCTAAGATTTTTACCACCATGTTAGACATAGTGGCTGGTGACGAGGCCGTTTCTTGTGGTCTCATCTCGAATTTGCTCGAGCGCGAGGGTAAGGCAGAAGGTGAAGACGAGGACGAAGATGACGAATCTCCCGGTCATCTGGCTCAGCAGACACTCGACTCGTTGGCATTGAATGTGCCAGCCAAGTACATAAATGTAGTGGTGTTTGGTGTATGCAATGATTACATAGCAGCTCAGGATGCTCGGAAACGCAAAGCTGGTGTATTGACGCTTGGTATTCTATCTGAAGGGTGTTGTGACTTCATGTGCCAGAACTTGAACGAATTGCTTCCCGCGATTTATCGCGTCGCCCAAGACACCGACCAGCACGTGCGCGAGGCGGCTTGTTTTGCCCTTGGCCAGTTTGCTGAGTTTTTACAACCTACAATTACTGATCATTACACAGATATTCTTCCAATTGGACTGACTCTCCTTGACGATGGATCCAAGGTGATCAAGGCGACAGCTTTATATGTACTTGATGAGATCACGCAGAGTATGGATAGTGATCAAGTGCTGCCGTATCTCGAGACATTAGTTAGTAAATTGGTGGCTGTGCTTCGCACGGGCTCGCCACAGCTCCAAAAGATGGCCCTCGACGCGGTCGGTTCGATCGCTATTGGAGCTAAAGACGCCTTTTTGCCATATTTCCCATCGGTTGCGGAACTTATTCAGCCGTTTTGGAGCATCACAGATCCAAAGTTTTTCTTTCTGCGTGGCGCTGCAATCGAGTGTCTCGGCTACCTGGCGACGGCTTTGGGTAGAGAGCCCTTTCGTCCATACTTTGCGCCTTCAATGCCGTTTGTATTCTCATCGTTCGAGTTTGACGACTCGGAGCTAAAGGAGCAAGCATTCGTGTACTTTATCAATGTGTCGAGCATCTTTAAAGAAGAGTTTGCCCCATTTTTAGAACAGGCTGCTACCCACGTGCTTCAGGCTATTGTCAGTGACGAAGGTCTCCGTGTTATGAATGATGATGAGGATATTCTCGGTGGTGTTGACTCGGATGATGAAGAGGATGGCGACGATAATGTCTTACGTCATATTAGCATTCGCACGGATGCGCTTAACTCGAAAGTACGCGCTGTAGCAGCCGTAGATGAGCTTGCATTAAACTGTGGTGGTACCGTGTTTGAGCCGTACATTCCAAAATTTCTTGAGGCATTGGCTCCGCTCACAGAATACATCCACGAGGACGTTCGAGGTGCTGTAGCGGAAGCTTTGGCTGCTCTTGTTATCTGCTCGTTTGATGCTTCGCACGCTTCAAACAGTGACATGCAAATATGGACTAAGGGAGACTTCAACAAGAACATCCTCACACCCAACAACGCTGTGATTGCGTCTGCTGTCATGAAGAATCTGGTCGAAGAACTTTTGGAAGACCCTGAAGAGGTTGTGGTCGAGAAGGCTTTTAACGCTATTAAGTCTATGAGTGCTCGTGTGGGTCCTGTCATTACGATGGACCACATGAACGAGCTGATGCGTATTACTAAGACTGTGCTGGCTCATGAACACATCTGCCAAACAAGTCATGAAGAGGACGAGGACGAAGAAGAGAACGAAGGAGGCTCGGTGCTTGAGAGTGCATCAGAGCTGATTGGTGTGCTTGCCAAATGTTATGGTGAGCACTTTTTGTCGGCATTCCAGGAGTTATTTCCGTCTCTGCTGGCATTTTCTACTGGTCTGCGTGCCGTGCGCGACCGTGCTGCTGCCGTTGGCTGCTTTGCTGAGGTGCTTCGCGAACTTGGACCTGGGGCCTTGAGCTTTGTGGAAAATGTATATCCTGTCGTTTTGCAAGGCCTTACTTCGGACAACTACGTATTAAAGGCCAACAGCGCATTCTGTATGGGTATTCTTGCAGAAATTAGCGGCGCCAAGCTCATAAGCGCGTACGAACAGATGCTGCAGGCTTTGCGTCCACTGTTTGAGACATCAGGCAATGACGAAGTGGTGACGGACAACGCATGTGCTGCTGTGGCCCGCATGATTATTGCTGGCGGTACCAATTTGCCTTTGGATGCCGTGTTACCCGTCTTCCTGAGCGCTCTTCCCCTAAAAGTCGATATGGACGAAAGTTCCGTGTGTTTCCGTTGTTTAAATGGCTTAGTGTCCTCGCAAAATCCGGTGGCGCTCAGTTTGATGCCTCAAGTGCTTGATGTATATGCCAAGGCACTTGCACCTACGTCTAGTGTGGAAGAGGAGACCCAGAATGAGGTGAAGGTGTGTGTACGTGGCCTGCTTCAGGCATATGCAGCTCAAATGAAAGAGGTCATTGCGCAGATGAGCCCAGGGGCCCAAACAGCTCTTAGTTCATCCCTTCAATAAGTTGCGAATCTCTCAGATTATAGGTAGTTTAACGTCTTGCAAGTAGTTAGTAGGCTGAAAATATGTATCGCATCTCAGCCAATAACTCACTAATAGTATACTCTCTTTTGAATCTCTTAACGTTTTCTTGACATTTAAGCGAAATTGAATTGAACAATATATTTACGTATCTTAACAATTAAATTGTCTGAGTGCTTCACTCGGCATGCATCTCTTTGAACAAATCTAGTGACTAAATTGACCCACCAAGTCCTTCCACGACCCTGACGTCGTCACATCAGTCTCTCGGTCGATACACGGTGTTGCAGTGGCGGATTTTGGCTTGGCAGTGGCTGCAGGTGGTGTAGCTGGGGATAAAATTGGAGACGGATTCGTGGCAGCCGGACTTCCAGGAGTTGCATTTGAGGGAGCCGATGGTTCAGTAGCGTTGCTTGGCATCTCTGCTGTTTTATTTGACACATTTGAATCAGAAGAGATGGCCCCAGGTAGTGCGCTGGGCGTCTCTATGACAGGAAAAATCACTTTTGGAGTAGAACTATTAGCATTGTGCATTGGCGTTGTGATGTTTGACGATAAAGTATTATTTCCGCCGCGAGATGCGGCGTTGTAAAGTGCCCACGAACGGGTAAGGCCGTCATCCATTGCAGCCGTCGCTAGCCCCGCCAGCGCATCAGCTTGATTGATGACAGCTTGGTTCACTAGCAACAGCGACAGCCACGCATTGGTCACGTCATTGTTCGTTACAATTGCTTCTTTAGACAAGATGTCGTCCCATTCCTCCTTGATAAATTTCGTTGTTCGTGCCAGACCATTGATTGGCAACACCGGGATCATTTGAATACCGTGGATGCAGTACTTTTCGGCGCTGAACCACGTGGTGTAGTCTACCTTGTTGTCGAAAAAAATGCCTGTGACGTGATTTGGCACAAATTGGGCCGGGTGTATAGTATTATCTGATGTCATGAGGAAGTAAGTGCGTACGGTACGAGCGTTGAGGCGCAGCATTAGACTGCCCAGATCTTCGACCGCTTTGTTGCCAGAAACTTGTCCCCAAAGCTTTAATCCGTAGCAAAAGTTCATATCCTCTGACGTGCTCTCCTCGTCTTTGCCATCAGCCATGGGGGTCACACCATGCGAGTACGAGTGGCCTAAGTACCACGAAAAGTGGCGAAATTTTGGAAAGTATGTATCTTTTGCACTCGGGTTGGCAACGTCGCGGATCAGCGTCCACACCATTGTGTCCAGCTGAGCCATACCTGACCACGTTGGATCGAGTTTCTTCAGAATAGCGGAAGCTGTTACCCAGTAACCGTAGTGATAGTGATGGTCATTGTAAATTCCGTTGCCGAACTCCACATGGATGTTGTTGGCCTTGTAGACCTGACTGGTCACAATGCCCTTGTAAACGGTATCATAAGCTAGAGGGGAATCTAGTGTGTTGGTAAGAAACGGCTCAATGAGTTTTTCTAGCTTCGACAGGCAGATCCTTAAGTAAGAAGTGTCAGTACCCACGACTGAGCTGTCTGCGGCCATCAAACAGAGAGAAGCGTACTTTTGGTACGCCTTGCCGTTAAAGTACCAGCTTCCGGTGCTCAATCTCCAGTCGCTATTAATGTCATTTTGCAAAGTGGATAGCAAGTTGACTTCTAAGACCACGTCAGCAGACAGCTTAAAGGCCGGGTAGAAGTCCACTTCATCAACCGACTCATCCTCTGTCAAAATCCAGCTTTTAGTCGTCGTCACTTGACCAACCATCTGACCACGAGTACTTGATTGCAGGATGATGGCGGTTTCCGACTGTGAAGTGACAGCACCGCTCATTACTTCCACTTGATGCGGAAGAGCGAAATGAAGAAGGCCGGTGGTTTGACACCCGCTGCCCTCAGTTGTCCACAGCAGCGAGTAACTGGTACGCGAGTCAATCGAAACATCGCCGCCACTGATAATACAGGATGAATATTTATCATAAACATTCTGATCATTGCCCACAGGTAGGATTGCCATTCGTAGCGTGCCATTGTATGTCGCATCAGACACCAGAGTGGATCCTGTGTTGTCAATCGAGAAAGTGGCACTGGTGTCACTGGAGTAGAATACCCACGTCTGGCGGTTTGTCAGCTGGATGACGTACCTGCCTGCTGTCGAGCTATCCAATATAGTCATGGTGTATTTCGATTGAATACTGGCAGTGAGTCCTGAGTATGTGGCGGATATGAATGCCATTCCGTTTACCAGATGTGAATTCATACAGCTTGTACTGCCTGACAAGCAGGTACGAAGGCTAACGCCCATGTCACTGAATGCGTAAATTTCGTAATTGGGTCTTGTTGACGCGAATTCTTCTGCCGAAAGAGTGACGTCATTGTGAAATCCGTGCAGGTAGAATTTCGAAACACCGTTCACCTCCTTGGCCATGTTACGATATGTGTGCGAATAGCAAACCTGGATTCCGAAAGGTGCTTCGACTGGTAGCCTAAGAGCGTACGGGTTGGACCACGCGGGTTCGGCAACAGTATTGTTGTTTTCTGTAGTGGTATGGATCAAATTCCCCCACCATTTGTTCGTCGGTATTGGCTGGCTGAGCAATTCGGAAGCAACATTGATGATCGGAGCTAACGTGTCCAGCGTGCTGAAGCGCTGGAAGAGATCGGAAGGTTTTTCAGTCGAAAAAGGTGCCATGTTGTCATTGTTGTCTAGCGATGTGCCTTCAAAGGAAGGTTGGACTGTTCCTTGCTGAAAGTCACTATCGTCTTGAAGCACTTCCATATTAACCGAAGTGGCATTGGCAGTCGCTGCCATGGCTATCGTCGCTTGCAAAAATTGTGTGATCTTCATTGGAATATTGACAGGCTTATTTGAGATGTGCTTAAGCTTTGCACAGTCGAATCGGAAGTGAGTTTTGCTTCTGAGTGCAAAGTCCGGCAAGTCAATTGGTGCCTATTACCTCATTACGAAATTGCATCGTTGACAGGCGCCAAACTAATAAGATCGTGTACTTCCTAAAAACCAAGCAGATCAGCCCTACTTGTTGGCGCCTGGCAAACGGCCTTTCTACTATCATCACAACTGAGCTGATACTAGCTATTGCATAGGTATCGTAGACTTTCGCCAGGTACAATCTTTGCTTAGCTGACCAGTAAGTTAACTTCCTCGGTGCCGAAACGAGAAATATCGGACTCCTCAAATCCAGCTGATATCAATTAAGATCAGAAACCACCACCAGAAGTGTAGCATCAACTGATAACTTATTATGACGATAGAATGGGAAAGAGCCTAAGAGCCAGGTTTAGTCGTTATTTTACGAATGGTGTCAAAGTGTCGTTTATATTTAGCGACCGTAAGTAAAAATTATGACTTCTTGTCGGTCAAATCAGAATTGAAAGTGGGTCAATTTAATGGCCGATCAAGGCCAACACCATAAAGCCGAGGCATCTGTTAGACACAAATTAATTTGTAAAGGGCAGAAGTAGCGATGATCGATAATTAAGTGCTTATGGTCTGCGATAGAACCCCAAGCGCGCACTCTTTAGCGTTTAATGATGCAATTGAAAAACTTCAAAGCGCATGCCAGAATTTACAGCTCTCGAGCTTCCCGCTCGTGATGACGGGTCGTGAGGATGAGCGCGAAGAGATTTACACATCACTTCGCTCTTCAATCGAGCAGCAGAGCGCCGGTGGTCCCATTTACATTAGTGGTCTCCCGGGCGCGGGCAAAACCTCAATCGTGAAGGAAGTTATTCGTACGCTTGAGATGCAGCGAGACAATGGAGATTTGCGCAACTTTACCTGGGTTGAGGTAAATGGGCTGCAGATGCCACGACCGGACGTCGCGTACAGTGTGTTGTGGAAAGCTTTAAAGCCGCCTATAAGTGACGAGCATGGACCTCATTCGCTGCGGGCGAGCATGGGCTCAGCAAGGCTGTGTGAGAGACTACAGCGTGAATTCCACACTAAAAGCTCGACACGGCCAATGCTGCTGGTACTGCTGGACGAGATGGACTTTATGCTGGCTGGAAAAAATCAGGTCCTGTACAATCTGCTAGAGTGGCAAACCTCTGCGTCAGCTAAGCTTATGCTGGTAGGCATTGCCAATACGATGGACCTACCTGAGCGACTGCCTAGCAAAATCCGCAGTCGTTTGGGTGGTCATCGCATCACTTTCCCAGCTTACACGCGAGCTCAATTAGAAGCAATTATTCAACAGCGACTGTCTCAGCTTGATATCTTTAGCGAAGAAGCTATCCAGATTTGCGCTAAGACACTGGCACACCAGTCGGGTGATGTGCGACAGGCGCTGTCCCTGTGCCGCAAAGCTGCAGAAGTGTGTCTACATCGGCTCACGGATTCTAATGAGATCAAAGAACCCAATTGTGGACGGGAAATGCTCGTAACTGGCGAAGATTTGTTTAAAGCTCAACAGGCTGTTTCCGTGTCAGCACCGATGAGTCGCCTACGTGCATGCAGCAAGTTTGAGTGTACGCTTCTAGTTGCGCTGCGTATGGAAGTCCGATCGTTCGTAGCGCGAGGGGTCAACAAAAATGGAGTAGAGCTAGAAGCTGTGATTGAACGGTTTGCAATTTTGTGCAAGACTCACTCATTCTTTCCGATCCCACGTCTGCGCGGACTTTTGTTCATTTGCGACGAATTGGAGCACTCAGGAGTCATTAAGCAGATCTACTCCCGAACGTCGCGGTACCCGTTGCTGGAAATGCTGTGCTCTCATCAAGAACTTCAAGATGTATTCCTTACGCACCCTATTGGAATGCAATTAATTTCTTAAAGGATTGTCGACCTTCATAAATTTCTTTATCTTATACAATTACACCAAAGTTTAAAACATGAGTCGCCTACGTGCATGCAGCAAGTTTGACTGTACGTTTCTAGTTGCGCTGCGTATGGAGGACCGATCATTCGCAGCGCGAGGGGTCAACAAAAATGGAGTAGACGTGGAAGATGTTATTGAACGGTTTGCAATTTTGTGCAAGACTCACTCATTCTTTCCGATCCCACGTCTGC